ACGGTTAGAGAAAGAAAGGGCCGGAAATAATTCAAATAAAATCAAGAAAACAAAACAAAGTGTTTGAAAAGAAAAAAGTAGGTTGATTTATCCCCAATACACATTTTTACCAGTGAAAAGCAATAATATATAAGCATTTAATATTTATACATGTGATAGAATCAGATCACCCCAGAAGTCAGTCCCACATCCAGGGCCGTATCAAGGCATTTGGAGACCAAGGCAAATATAGGCTTGGAGCCCCCACCCCCTCACTCCCTGCTCAGTTAATATAAGATGGCAGCGTTGTTTCATTTATTTCATAAACAATCCTTCTAAAGAACTGTTTTTAACAGCAATCCTAGCTCAGACACCACATCACCTTCCACCGGATGTGTCATGAGTTCACCAGGCATCCGATTACCAAACTCGTACTGAAGTTGTTTTGTTGAAAGTAACTTAAGAGTAATGCAAAAGTAGTGAAATTCCTTACATTTTAAAATCAGTAATATTGTAATGTAATGAATTACTTTAAAATGAGGGTAACAAGTAATAAATAATGTATTACAGTTTTGAAGTAACTTGCCCAACACTGGCAATTGACATGTTTGCACTTTAAATATGTTTACGATTTTAATTTACGTTAAGTTGAAAAACGAGAAAAACTGATTTTTGTAATTGCTTCTCTCAAGGCTTTTATCATCTCTGGTGTGAGTTTAAAATATAAGTACGCTAGCACTGTGTTGATTATCCCTAATACGAATAAATGTTTATTTATTCAATGTTTCTCTTCTTTAATACGCAATTGAAGTTATGCTATTCATGGATAAAAAATCGTGATAAAATCGAAATCGTGACAAAATATTGGAAAAATCGTGACATTCTATTTTTGCCATATCGCCCAGCCCTAGTGTGAGGGGTAAGGGAGGGGCAGAGACGGTTTATGGATCGAAGATGGAAATAGACTGACCAAATTATGTTATTGATGTGAGCATGAAAAGAAAGTGAGCTGTCGAGGATGACACCCAGATTCTTAACCTGAGGGGAGGGGGTGACTGTGGCGCTGTCCATAGTTAAAGAAAAGCTGTCAGATTTGGAGATGGTGGATTTGGTACCAACAAGAAGTTCAATTTTATTGCCGTTGAGTTTGAGGAAATTAGAGTTGAACCAAGATTTGATTTCTGAGAGGTAGAGGGTAAGGGAGGAGGGTGGGAGAGTGGAGATAGGTTTACTGGAAATTTAGAACTGGGTGTCATCCGCGAAGCAGTGAACCAGGATACTAAATTTGCGGAAGATATTGCCTAGAGGGAGGAGATAGATTATGAAGAGGATAGGCCCCAGGACAGAGCCCTGGGGCACGCCTGACTTGACTGGGGAGGGTTTTGAGGAGAAGGATTTTAACTGGATGAACTGAGTGCGGTCGGTAAGGTAAGAGTGAAACCAGCGGAGCGGGGTGTGAGTGATACCTAAGGAAGAGAGTCTATTGAGGAGGATGGGATGCGAAATGGTGTCGAATGCCACACTCAGATCGAGGAGAATGAGAATGGAAATAAACCCAGAATCAGCAGCAATGAGTAGGTCGTTGGTGATTTTAATCAGAGCTGTTTCTGTGCTACGGTGGGGATGGAAGCCAGACTGACATCTCACCTCGGACTGGATAATAGCAACACAACTCTACCACTGACAGGCATTGTGGATCTCCACAAATAACACAAGCCTGGAGGAGCTTCAGCTGTGTGGTGGAGTTGCTAATGCTAATGGTTAGCTTCTAATAGATGAGATGTTCTCTGCTGTTTCCTGGATGCTAAACCATCAATAGCCTTCCCCGTCGTGCATCAAGATGGGTGAGTCCATGAATGTTAGGTGACGGTGTGACGTAGATCTGTCAGGATTTTCTAATCCTAGAGTTTCACCGTTTATTTTTATCAGAAGCTAATGCAGGACATAGGTGTAGGAGACTATTTTCATCTTCAGCCTGCATAAAAAATTCAGAATGACTGATTATAATCAGAAATAGTCATCAAAAAATGGGTTTTCAGTTAACCACACCTTTAAATTAATTGTGTGTGCAGGGCAGTGTGTGTCTGCGGGGTGGGTCATGGTGAGCAGTGAGAATGATGGGGGTTAAAAGTCAAGCATGACATGGTTAAACATGAATGGTGATATCTTTTATCTATTTGAGCAATATAATATTAACTGTAGCTGATTAAATTGTTTATATATGTAAATCCATAGTTATACAGATTTTTACTTGACATTAGGGGTTAAACCACCTGTGCGTGGTGACTGATGTACATCAATCTGAATGAGGGGACAGTTGTACTCCAGATCAGAAAGATGAGAGGAGAAAGAAAGCAGATGAGTGGCTGGTTTAAAGGAAAGAGAAAGAGGTGACGAGCATGTGCTGCAGTGCTCCTGCATTACAATTGATTGGCTGCTTTAACCACCAGTGCTGCTCACTCAGGCTTTAAATAGATGGATAAAACCCTCCTTTACTCTTCTTTCTTATTCACTTCTCATCCTTTTCTCCTCCAGGCCCTACTCTCTTTATTTGTTTCTGTCTCTTTCTCTTCTGCATTCATTTACTTTCTGCTTTCCTCCTTTTTTGTTGATTTTTTTCACCATCTCTTTCTCTTTTGCTCATTTTTCTTCCTCACTCTGCATGTCTTACTTTCTCCTCATTTTATTGTTCTTTCTCCCTATTTTTCTTCATTTTCTACAAATACACCCAAGCACGCTGCACATATTTAAGAGTCATTTCTTCTTTTGTACATTTTCATTCGGAGTCCGACTTTCAATAAACATTTTTATGTCTCAAGCAAAAAAAAATGAAATCTTCCGGCTTTGTGACGAACTTCCTTTTCCTGTAGAGTAGAAAATGACAAACACAACAAAGGACTGAAAATGCTTTAAATAACTAGTTAGAGCAGATAAACAGTATCCATCCATCCATCCATTGTCTGAACCCGCTTTGTCCATGCGGGGTTGTGTGTGTGTGTGTGTGTGTGTGTGTGTGTGTGTGTGTGTGTGTGTGCTAGCTATCTCCAGTGGTCAACGGGCAAGTAGGCGGGGTACACCCTGGACAGAGAGCCAGTCCATCGCAGGGCGACACACACAGACACACAGGACAAACAATCAAGCACACACACACTCAACTAAGGACAATTTAGACAGCCCAATTAACCTAACATCATGTTTTTGGACGGTGGGAGGAAGCCGGAGTACCCGGAGAGAACCCACGCATGCACAGGGAGAACATGCAAACTCCATGCAGAAAGACCCCAGGCCAGGAGGCGAACCAGGACCTTCTTGCTACAAGGCAACAGCTCTAACCACTGCGCCACTGCACAACCCAGATAAACAGTATCTAAATCTCAACTTCTTATGAAACAAAAGAAGAAATGCATCAAAGACCTTCCACGGGACCTGAGCGATGCATCATCCTAGAGTTGATTATCTCCCACATGACAAGTCTTTGGCTATTATTCCTTTGAGAATCATTTTGTCACAGAAAAGCAGAAATTTTTTCCAGTCAAACTGTGTTATCGTTCACACTTTTAATAAACGAAAGAGAAAAAATGTGTCTTTACAGCAAACTGCCATCAAAAGTGTCTGCAGATAAAACTGAGAGTCATCATGACGGTGTGTTTATCTGAGCGTGTAACTTATTTCCATTTTGAGACTAGAGGTCACACAGTAATCCTGAAATGCCCTCCAACCCTCCTTTAAACAGATACAATCCTCCTTTTTGCTCCTACAATCTGTCTGCTCTGACGTTCTTCAGGTTCTCTTCAGCTCTCTTTTCCTGTCGGCTGTAATGCTATTTCTCAGCTAAGTGAAATGAGATGGGTTTTCCTCCGGTACAGATAGATGGAGGTGAGGACAGGCCCCAGTCAGCTGGAGACTCGAGCGGACTGCACATCAGACCCATCTAGTCCATGCTTCCAGGAGCTAAACAATTTCACAGAGTGTAAAAAAACATGAAAGTGTTGCTCATTTCTGACCAATGTTTTATCAAACTAGCAGGCCGAAGAACACTGGCCCTTCTAGCCGTATGTTACAGATGTTGGGATTAATCTGTCAGACTAAATAGCAGCCAGAAAACGTTCAGTCAGTGTGCGCCTCTGGCTAACTCAGCTTTAATAAAACAGTACGTAAACAGCAGCGTGGTGTGTGATCAGGTTGGAAACTAGTCTATGTTCACATCAGACAGCATGTGGCTCAAACACATCCCATCAGACCCCTAATGAAGGCAAAGCTTAGAACGTTTCATGATGTTAGCGGCCACATGCTAATGACTTCTCATATCGCCAGTCTTTGATCTATAAACGATGTGCTCAGCCCTAATTATTTTGGCATTGGCCATTATTTTAGTTTGTTCATCACGTGGCTCGAAACTTGATTTGCATTTGATCTCATTTTAGCAGCTTTGTGTTTTTGGCTGGTTTTGATTGGTACCTGGAACCAGAACTGACAGAATCACCCTGACCATGGACTCCAGTTCACTTATGCTGAAAACTCTTGGTTTTTTCCACCCCTTTTACCCATTTTCTTCTTAATTCATTCAAATTAAAGTTACTTAGTGCTGTTAACCTAGTGTGAAATCATGCAATGCTCAGAGTCAATGAGTTGCTTTGATTTACTTCTTTATGTTGTCGTTTTGAACAGCAGCAAGTTGTACTCGACTGCTCTGGCTTTCATGTCACTCTAGAGATTGATTTGCAAGAGGATGAGGTTAACGCTCTGAACGAACAGTCCTCATTAAGCAGCTCACAACTCAGAAAGATGAGCATTTACTTCATACCTTTTACCATTCTTCTTCTCCTCCATCTTTCTCTCCAACTCATTATTTTTCTGCCTGCTTCAGTTAGTGAGAAGGTTAGAGTCTGCCGGCTGTGAAAACCAAGAGAACAGCTTGATGTTTCGCTGCATCAACTCCCAGCATCAGCACCACGATGTGCTGACTCCACTAGCGTACTTGCAGCTCCGAGATGAAGTTTGTTCCTTCTGTCTCCATTTAGGCCCAGATGCCACCAAGGACCCGTGTCTAAGGGTTCGCTGTCCTCCTCACAAGGTGTGTGTTAGCCACGACTTCCAGACTGCCATCTGCACCAATCACAAGCAACCACCCCACAGGTAAGTCATGTGACGTTCATTTTGTCAGACTCTTTTGAGGATACTAGGGAAAAGTTGAAAGACAAGCTTGTGTGACAGCTCTCTCCAAGAGATATAACATCAACGTCGCAAAGCAAACGGAGTCAGTGGTACAGTCATGTTGCTGTTAGCCAATCAGAGAGGACATGTTAGAATATCAGGAAATATTATTGAAGACACCCACATCCTTCCATTTTCTTCCCTCTCTTCTCTGACTAACTTATATTCACTGGAGCAGGAGCACCAGAGCTTTTTTTGCCACAGAGATCAACTCACAAGGCGTTCGCTAGAGACCAATGCAAATATGTTGGAAAAACGAGTGAACTTGTCTTTAAAGCAAGGACTTGTGGACATGTTGAACCGGCTATCTAGCGCCGCAAAGTCAATGGTTGCTTTAAAACAATATTTCCTGACATTTTGACACGTCCTCTCTGATTGGCTAACAGCAACATGACTGTACCACTGACTCTGTTTGCTTTGCAACGATGATGTTATATCTCTTGGAGAGAGCTGTCACACAAGCTTGTCTTTCAACATTTCCCTTTTCCCTTTAAAATGAACTAAAACAAGTCGAAATGTGGTACCAGATGTGTGTTCGCTCTCTGTTGACAAACAAAAAAGTTCCTTCTCCATCATCCCTGCTGAAAAAAACAGCATGGACCAGCATATGTTGCCTTTTGGTGCTGGTATGCTGGTCCAGCATGGGATGCTGGTGATGGGATGCTAGATCAGCATGACTTAGGCTCCCTGTGCAGTTTTAGCTTGCTTTTAGCACCCCCTAGTGTCGGTAATTCAAACCAAAAGTGATTGTGCATTCCTCTTTTCAACACCTTCTTCTAAAACCTGAAATGTCTCCCCAGCCTTCATTAGTTTCAACAAAAGTGATTAGTCACTAAATCAAACAGATCAGCTGTGTTTGCGGTCTAGAACATGCAGGAAATATGTTGGATATAGACTCCAGCACCAACAAGGCAAGTCCAGCAGGTACCAGACCGGTACTCTGAAGGTGCAAGTGTGACATTCCAGAGGGGTCTGAGTGACATTTCATTAAATGGTAAATTGTAAATGGCTTGCATTTGATCTAGCACCTTCTAGAGTCCTAGAGCCCCCCAAGGCACTTTACAACACAATCAGTCATTCACTCATTCACACACACATTCACACCCTGGTGGTGATGAGCTACATTGTAGCCACAGCTGCCCTGGGGCGCGCTGACAGAGGTGAGTCTGCCGTACACAGGAGCCACCGGTCCCTCTGACCACCACCAGCAGGAAGGTGGGTTAAGTGTCTTGCCGAAGGACACAATGACAGCGACAGACTGAGAGGGGCTCGAACCTGCAACCTTCTGATTACAGGGCGAGCACTTAACTCCTTGACCACCGTTGCCCCTTGTGTCCATGTAAAAGGTCATTTTAGCACAACTGGCTCAAGAAAATGATTTAAAAATATGAAAACATTGCATAGTATGGCTTTAATATCAGATCTTCTGAGTTCAGCCCGTGTCAGTAAAGGATACCGTTGTCTTTCCAAACATGGAGGGTTGATTCCCATTGTAGAGTTCATATGTACACATTTATAGTTACTGTTGAACTTCAAGCCCTTACAACAACATGAGATGGTTCACTTCTGTTTTATTTTATTCAGTTAGCAGTCCCTTTGATTGTGTTTATCAGGTCCTTCTTAGCTTCTGGTTCACAGTTTGAGCTTTCTTCTAAGCTCCTCGTGATTTTTATCTTGAGAGGCGCTATAGAAATGATATTTTCTTCTTCTTCTTCTTGGTTAATCGAGGACTCCTAGTGATGATAAAACTCTTTAACTGTGTGTGTATTATGAAAGTATTCTTTAAAGGTGCCCAAAGTAGACTGATTCATCATAGGAAGCACGGCTCCTGTAACTTATCAATGTGTGTGGAGCCCTTTCAAAGTTAGATACCGGTATTCAAATCAATAACACACAGGACTCATTTGGGGCGACGGTGGCACAGGAGTTAAGTGCTCGCCCCGTAATCGGAAGGTTGCAGGTTCGAGCCCCGCTCAGTCTGTCGCTGTCTTTGTGTCCTTGGGCAAGACACTTAACCCATGTTGCCTGCTGGTGGTGGTCGGAGGGACTGGTGGTGCCTGTGCTCGGCAGCCTCGCCTCTGTCAGTGCGCCCCAGGGCAGCTGTGGCTACATTGCAGCTCATCCCCACCAGTGTGTGAATGTGTGTGTGAATGGGTGAATGACTGATTGTGTTGTAAAGCGCCTTGGGGGGTTCCAGGACTCTAGAAGGCGCTATATCAAATACAGGCCATTTACCATTTTTTAGGTATTGTGTCCTCCATCATTGCCAGTGATGTCACCTACAAATGAGGTAACCTCACTCACTGGTAGCTGAGTGTTGCACAATCACAGCGTTCATCTGGAAGTGTGAAATCAAACACGTAGGTCCACATAACTCACTCCATAGTGGGCCTAACAGTCCTTATAACCCCCAGAGAGCCCTGGAAATGCATCTTGTTTCTGGGCCTCCTCAGTGTTTCCAACATCAAATCAAACCTGTTTACCTCCCTCAAGACCAGAAGGTCAACAGCAAACAGTGTTTTCATCCAGGCTGGTGCCTTTTGTCCCAGATTTACCACATGTCGTTGCTCATACCTATTTTTGTAGATGGAAGCGTGGGATGTTATATTTAAATCTAATTATTTTTATGGTCCGGTGCCATATGTGCACATATATTCATATAAAACCCAATTAGTTGTGATGCTCCAACAGGTCCAGGTATTTTTTTAATTACTGACCAACTTTTCTGGTCTTTTAGATTCCCCATGCTACTTTTCTTAGTTTTAATGGCTTCAGTTTGAACAAACAAAAGCCATCCTGTATTAAAATATACATTTTTTAAGGTTTATGTACAGTTCAAAAACATCTCAGCAGCTTCAGAAACAGATACTGAAGCTTGATGAATAAAGTTTATGTCAGAGCTTCAAAATTGTCTTTAGTGTATTAGTAATGCACATACAAGTTACCTGAGGCCCTGTCCACACGTAGCCGGGGATCTGCCAAAACGTAGATATTTTTCTACGTTTTGGCCTGTCATCCACACAAAAACTGAGTTTTTCACACGAAAACGGATCTTTTTAAAAACTCCGGCCAAAGTGAAGATCTGCGTTTTCTCCGTTTTTGGTGTCTGCGTGTGGACAGACAAAACCGGAGTTTTAAGGTCCGCAACGTCACTTTCCACGACAAAAAAATGCTGACATCACGTGTGCGACCTGTGTTTACACTAGCCAACAGCATGGATGCCCTCAGAGCTGCGCTCGCTTTAATTGTCCAAGCGCTTTTTGCTTGTTTGTTTTTGCAAGCGGAATTACTGCTCCTTGCGGAAGACCACAGACGAAGGACGAGGTTAAGAACGGGAGAAGTACTGCCACCTACAGGTCTGGCATGTCCTTAACAACGTATTTATCCGGGTACGTGTGGACAGTTTTTTTTTTAACGAGGTGGTGTGGATGCAAGTTTTTGGAGGGGCGGATATTCGTTTTTAATAAAACCCGGCTATGTGTGGACTAGGCCTTAGATGTACTGCATTAGGTCTAACTTCCCATTAGGACTAACACAGCCTCCTCTCAAGAAGAAGAAAGAAAAGATGCTGCAGAAAATGTCTTTAATAGATTTTCTCTCCTTGTAATTGTGATATTTTTAAACTTGAGAAAACTTTTTTTCTTCTTTTCTCTAAAATGTGAACCTGAATATCCTAAACACCTGGAGGGTGGGTTAATTGAATTACACCCCGCAGAAGCATGAAAAATAATAACATTTTGTATTTTGACTTGGAGGTTTTTGGTTCTTCATACCAATTAATTTCAATCATGCTGTCTGGTTGCTCTGCCACCTCTCAATTTGTTTGTGTTTTCAAGCATTGCCAGCTTTTTTAAAAGGTTTCTTAATTTTTCAGTTCAAGAAGTATTTCCCCAAAAAGACATTTAATTTTTTTTCTCCTTTCTTTGTTTGTCTGGGTTATAATTGATTTCCTCCAGTCATTAGCTCCCAAGAGTCTCAGTTTTAATCCTTCTATTTTTGTTGCATTAATTACAAGTCCGATTTGCTGCTTAATACGTTAGATTATTCACATGGAATTTGTATTTTCCCAAAAGCATTGTTTGCTTGATGTATACATGTAACTTTATCTCTATAAGCTAAATTTGCTGTAGTAATTAGCATAGCACACACACACTCTGTCCTCCCAGCAGACAAATCCAATCTTAGCTTCTCTCTGCAGAAACAAATACATGGCATGTTCTCTCTGGTGTGGAAAGGCTGTTTATTTAGATCTCACTCGCTGCTTGAAGGCACATGTTACAAGTACTATTATCATTTTTAAGTTCATTACAAAATAAATTTTGTTTTCTGCCAAGCAGCTGACAACACAGCCATCCCCAGACTCCACACATTGTGTGATGATGTGCACCTGAAGGCCTGGCTAGCTACTTTAGTAAAAAGGTGTCATTCAGAACCCCTTACTAAGGTTCTGAGTGTTAATTCTGTGCACCTACGTCCTGCTGTGAGGGATTGAAGTACCCTCAAATCAGAAGGCGAACCATGAAGACGACCAGCAGGGTGCTTGAGTAAAAAACGAGTAAAGAATATCAGTTTCTAGTGTTTGTTTGAGTGAACAAGTCTATTGATCACCCGTCTGTGCATGCATGGCTGCCATAGACCGCTCACAGATTTTCTTTAATTTGCAGAAAATTCAAAGAAGAAACTAATTACCGAGTCATCCTCACCTGCTCGCTTCAACCCAGCTAATGTTCACTTTCCACCATTTGTTGTCATCTCGTTCATTTCTGTGTAAAGAGTGGGTTTGGCTCTAATTCCATCTCTGCCTGATGGATCAGGCAGCAGGGTGTTCGGTGAGAGCACTTAGACAGAAAATTGCTGCAAAGATTTGGATCAAACGTAATTATAGTGGATGTTGAAGAGGCCTCCTTGGACCAATCAGAAGCTGCTTCATTTGACCTCAAATGGCAGAAATGCGTTCAGCTCTGAGGTGAACTGAAAATGTTTGAAAGCTTTTACTGTCTGTAGAATTATAGTTTCCACCTTTACATGTAAATATATGTCATAAACCGTATAGATGCTGTAATGCTTGTGGCCTCTAGTGCTGTCATACCCCATCATTTCATGAGGGCAACATTGTTATTCTCTTGTGAAAGTATTTGGTTTTTTAATGCTATTCCTGCTGTGGACGGACTTACATATGTTAGTGAAATATCTCATGAACAGCTGAACGGACTTTAATGAACTTTGACTCAAACTCGGCCAACAAGATTCTGGCATTGTTTGTGAAAGTTTTTAGTCACAAAACTGGTGTTTCCAGCTGGACATTTTTTAACCACGCAGGACAACGTCCTCGTGTGCTTCAGATTTGTATTTATTTAAAGAGCAAGTCACCCCCTATCAGAGTCTTTCTGCACTCCCACTTCCCGTTTGGAAAATGCAACAAATGCTATTGCCTGGCAGACCAAGAGGGCAGAGCCACTAACAAACAAACACACACACACACACACACACACACACACAGACAGGCTCACAACAACATTGTGACATCATAAAGTACCAGCTAACGTAATAGTGTACCTCTTAGCTAACAGTGATTGACAGATTTAAATTCAAATGTAATGCAGATTTTTTACCTGAAGAGGGTGCAACACTGACAGTTTTAGACAGAATATTTAAATTTTTAACTAAGATGCATTAAAGTGACAAATTATTGACTACACGTGTCTACAGCATGATTAGACACTTGTTTATTTATCAGCAAAAACTGTGAATTTGGGGGTGACTTGCTCTTTAACCCTCCCACTGTCTTTATGGGTGACCCCGCGAGGAAAGTTGACCATTGAGCAGGGGTTGATGGTTTATCCCTTGAGGTCCATGTGGAAGGGGTGAGGTGGTGCTCACTCCTCACCCCTGCCACATGGACCCATGGAATAAACCATCAACCCCTGCTCAATGGTCAACTTTCCTTGCAGGGTCACACCCATTAGGACAGTGGGAGGGTTATCAGTGGGTATTGTAGTGACCTCTGACCTTTACATATTATGCATATTGTTATTGAGTCAATAATATGTTGACATCATTTGAAAAAAGAACCACTGATGTGATTTTCTGCAAAATTCAGAAAATGAGGATTAGACAGTCCCTCTGCTTAGGAAACAAACATTATTAGAGATCATCAACAACAGTATTGTGATGACCCACAAGGGCTTTTTGTGTTTGAGGTTGTAGCCTAATGTCACTGTTCCTTTTACCGTCACGTTGGCCGGTTGAATGGTAAAAATGAAACTGGTGCAGGTTTATCTCAGCTGTTGGACAACTCTAGTAAACCGCTGCTAGGGCCAAATGTCATTCTCTCTGGCGTTTTAGTTCAGCACAAACATCACAATATTAAGAAAGGATCTTGAGTTAACATATGTTCGTCATGCAGCAGCTTAAAGCTTCTGGTGCACAGCACACCATGTGCAGATCTGCTAAAAGGCTCAGAAGAAGCGCTGCTGCAGGCAGCTGCTGCAGATGAATCTTATTCAATATTGGATAAAACGTACGTGTCACGAAGTCAGAGCTAATTATCAGCAAACGGTCTTTGTGACTTTCAGGAGGTTTATATTTTGGCAAGTTCAGAGAAGAGGCATAATGTCCGACGATTTAAAGTTTTTTGTAATGTCCTACATGTTTATGCAAGCACTGATTCTGGTGTAAAAACTGAGATTTTTTCTTTTGAGGAATGCAACATCTCTGATTATTTTCTGCTTTTCTCCTTTCTAGTGTGAAAGCCAGGAAAGGCAGCGTAAACCACAAGCATAGGGTTGAAGCAGGGGCTCATGGGCAATGTAGGCAGTGCTCGGCACTTCAGTCAGTTCCTGTATGTGGCTCTGATGGACACACCTATTCCTCCAAGGTGAGTTTTCCATTTGTCTTCTCTTGTTACAGTCATCACTGTTTTTAACATGGCAACAATAAAATCTAAACAGAGCTGCTGAAATGTGTCATTTAGAAAGTTTATTAGTAGTATTTTTTTCATTCCCTGCTTATTTCTTTTTTTTTAACACTCACTAATGTTTCTGTGCCTCTATTAATCTTTGTTTCTTGCTGCATTATTTCCCGTGTCGCACTCAACAGAGCTGCTCTTGTAACCGTTAATTGACTGGAAACAGAGACAACCCTCAGAGGTCTTTACATCAGCTAAGAGTCATCTTTAAATGGGTTGGGAAAGCTCTCAATCCCCTCTTCAGCCCGCCTGACTCTCGTTTCTAACCGCTAACTCACAGCTCATCATCTCCCCCTGAGCAACATAAAACTACACGCAGCCACAAACTCTCAAATTAACGGTGGAAAAACCCAGATTTAACCTCTGTGATGAGTCGAGACGGCAGTGAACAGGAAAATTAGAAAGAGGAGCGTGAAAATTGATAGCAAGTGATGGATTTTATATACATAAACCTGAAGCTTTGTCCTTGGTACAATTCTCTGTAGATTATTATTGATATGAGTGTGCTGCCCTTGTATTCAGCCATTAGGTTAGCAGCAGCAACATCATGCACATATTAGACTACTGTGGAGCGTTAAGGCTGTAAGGCTGAATCAAAGTCGGTCTGATTCAGGAGCAGGGGCGGCGTTAGGCCCGGCTACTTGGGCTGAAGCCCCGGATGTTTCATGAAAAGCCCCGGATCTAAATCGCTGAAGTAACATGCAGTACCAAAGTCCAACAGAGAGGGAGCAGCTGGCAGTAGTTTGTATAAGGCCTGCCTGAGCCTCCACCACTGAAGAAGAAGCCCTTCAGCAGCCGGCTTCTTCTACAGTCTCTGTCTGAAACGCATGAGTGAAGATGGACATAAGGACGTTTTTTAGACCAAAAGTACAACGACAGAACCCCAGCTCTGATGAGACTGGTGTTGACTCAGGTTTGTGAGTCTTATTTGAAAATATTTGTTGTGCTGCTGGTTTGCCTAAAGTTAGCTTACTATCAGGTAAAGTTGTTGGAGAAAGAAAGGGAATATTTACTATCATCTCACACTAAACACTAACAGGAACAATACTCTGCCCTGAAAATGCTTAATGTGTAGCTTCAGATTAAAAATTATGTGGTACAAGACAAATATGATGTCGACTAGTGCGTGTCACGTGTGTGTGTGTGTGTGTATGTGTGTGTTAAGCCCCGGATGTTCTTCAGTCCTAAATCCGCCCCTGTTCAGGAGTATGAGCCATAGTATGCAGGCTGTTGCAGTTTAATGCATGCCATTCAATCAATGCTGCTGAGATGTTTAAAATCGCCTGAGGAAAAATAATATTTAACCAGACTGCTTTGATTGATATGTGCTGGGAAACGTGTTGGACATCCCATCATTTCATCAGCAGAAAGGTAAACAGCTGGTGATCATAATCAGTCCTCTGAATGGAAACAAGAGTTTGCCCAGACAAACTCCAGATTCAAGTTATCCAATGTAAGGACTGGGGACATCGTTTGTCTTTTACTTCATAAAAGTTTCATCCCCTTCTTGGAAAATAAGACAGGTCAATAGTGTGATAATGCAGAAGGGAGGGCCTTGTGCAGACACAAAAACAATTTCAGTGCAGGTTTCAGCTGACGGTGCGCACCAACGATAAGGCTAATTCAAAAGTTGGCTTCGAAGCACAACAGAGAAGAGATTGTAAGTTTGACCTCAAGTAGAGGAAGTAAAGTAACACTGCTTCTGTCTGAGGAAACATTGTCTAAGGAAATGAACTTTTACCAACATTTGGACTCTAAAGGGACCTTAATATTGAGTCCAGGTGTTGTCGTTATTAAAGTACCTTGTCGTGGAAATGAACTCTGCAGACTTGACAACAAAACAACTCAAGGGAAGGTGGGGTGGACTTTGCTTTTTAAACCAGTAATAATTCATCATGAATCACAAATTTCAGTTAGAAATAACAGACAGACAGGTTGAACATGGTCTCAGTAGTGTTGTGTGTGGTCTATAGGGTAGAAGGTCTGGGATATGTGTGGCTGTTAACTGAGTAAGGCTCAGCTTTGTGACAAACTGCCGCCGTTGTTTTACGAAAGAGGTTCAAGATTCCCGTGAACACAAGGTGAGTCACCCCCACCCTTGCTTTGGTTCCTGCATTTGAAAGACCGCATCTTAGCAAGATGTGACTGATGTGTTTTGTTTTTTAAGCAGGCAGCCTAAAAGAGGCTCATCTTTGAGGAAATATCAAATTCAAATAGAAGTATTTCATGGGGTGACGGTGGCACAGGAGTTAAGTGCTTGCCCCGTAATCGGAAGGTTGCAGGTTCGAGCCCCGCTCAGTCTGTCGCTGTCGTTGTGTCCTTGGGCAAGACACTTAACCCACGTTGCCTGCTGGTGGTGGTCGGAGGGACTGGTGGCGCCAGTGCTCGGCAGCCTCGCCTCTGTCAGTGTGCCCCAGGGCAGCTGTGGCTACATTGTAGCTCATCCCCACCAGTGTGTGAATGTGTGTGTGAATGGGTGAATGACTGGTTGTGTTGTAAAGCGTCTTGGGGGGTTCCAGGACTCTAGAAGGCGCTATATCAAATACAGGCCATTTACCATGATCGACCCGTTCACCTACCCACACCTCCTCTCACAGCCTTCATCCCTGAGGTACACACAGAGAATGATTCAGCTTGTTTGTGTTTGAGGACATCATGACGAAGACCTTTTTAATGTCTTCCTGAGAGCAGAGGATGTGCTTAGGAGGCAGAGGAGAAGGAGGAGGAGTGATAAAGTAGAAACACGACGACGAACAAAAGAAAAGAAGAGGGCTGGGAAATCTCTGCGCTCTCCGTGGTCATTTAGGTGGAGGAGTTCGGTTTAGTGATGGGTCCCCGTGGCCCAACTTAAACTCTCCTCACCAGTGAGCCGCTGGGTCTCCAGCTTATTCATGTTTTATTATTACATTACATGCCTCCCTCATCATACCCCCCCCCCCCCCCCCCCACACACACACACACACACACACACTCAATATCCTATTAAAAGGACAGTGCTCCTATCTCCTGAGAGGCTTCAGCCCACTAAGTTAAATCCATGACATCCCTCCTCCTGAATCATCTTTTCTCCTTCTCCCGTCTTTCCTCTCCTCTCTTTTTATTCTTACTCCACCACGTCAGCTGTTAAAACACTTTCATCAAAACCACATTGGCCAATGAAACAGGACACGCATAAAGATTCATGGGGATCCTGCGAGTGCAGACAGAGATTAGAAGAGGTCATCCATTTCCTGGACTTCCTCCTCCGTCTGCCTTCCTCCAGACGGCTAATTCAATATGTCGAAAACAAAACCAAGCTCCGCTCCTTTTGTCAGCAAATTTCATTAAGCAACATTAGCAGCAATATAAAAGAGGTGGCAGGGAGGAAATTATGGATTTGAACCAGAACGTTAAAAACAAGGCGTGATAAGGTAATGTGAGCGCATGTTTATGCACAGTCATGGTCTCACGTGTGCAAATCTTGTCGTCATCGTCTCGAAAACAAAATTTACATAACTCATTTCGTTTTTCATTATTCCTCTCGGAAGGATCTTGTAATTGGATTTTTTTTCTCCCCTGACAAGTCCAAACACCCCCCCCCCCCCCCCCCCCCACCCACACACACACACACCTGAAATCAGATTTGTACTGGTTCAGAAAGAGTCAATCTTACCTATTTCTATTTTTATTTCTTTGCTATGGCTTTGTACGGCAATAAATCATGAAACGTCACATCTTCGTGTCTACACGGCTGCTTAATGGACACATCTGTTCAGTCGAAGATAAATGACTGCTCCTGTATTAGCAAACCCTTCCCCTAATCAGCTCTACTCAAAAAGCTTTATATTTCATGTTTATATTATGTTTTTTTTTTTTTTGCGTCAGAAACATATGAATGAACTGTCCCATCCTGGAAAATGTGTGATTCTTATCTAGCTGACTTTTAAAGTGTGTTTCTGTCTTCCATTTCTCAAAGTTGATACAAAATGAAGGAGTGACGAATGTACAGTTTGACTTTTTTTTTTTAAATGTCACATTCAAGTGCTGAAATGATGTTTCTACACCTTCAGCAAATAACGCGTTTCGTGGAGCAGGTGAGCTAATTTGATTTTTGACATTTCAAAAAGCTTGAAAGCCGAACGTGGTCTACGGCAAAGTACAGTGTTGAAGACTGAACCTCTAATGGGAGTGCACTGGTAATGGGTTTCTAACGTGAAGAGAAAAACATCCGTTTTGTCACTCAACTCTACAGATTGTGTTTTAAATAAAAAATGATTCCTTTTCAAGGGTTTTACTGCAATAGCCACTAGTTTTGTGAAATTATCAGACAATAATAAATAATAATGAAAGCAGGGTCATTTATCTGCATGTAAAAACTACTTCCCAAGTTTGCTTCATATTTATACAAATTGCTCAAAAACCAGAAACAGTTTTGAGCTCCAGAAGATAATGAAGCTGGTTATGTAAACAGATTCTTTGTCTCTGTAGACAATCATGAGTGAGAAACTGCAGATTGCAGTAATCATGAAGTAAAAACACAAACAACTTGCTGTGTAAATTGTCACAAACATTTTATCTTGTTTGTGAGCGAAGAAAGGAAAACAAGATGTTCGGTTTTGGTTAATTTGAGACACAAGATCTGTGTGACGGAGTTGGAGGAAAAGTGAAGGATTTGAATCCACCAATACACACCTCTAATATAAAAATACTGCTCCCTTTCCAAGTTATTGACTATTTATAGAAGAATTATTAAAATAAGGCAGCAACGCTATTAAACTATTCGTTAAAACCAAATCATGGTGATGTTTTTAGCCAGGCTACATATTAATGTTGTGATAAAGGGCTTGCCCTCTTAAAGAATAATTCTGTTTTCACTTTTTTTATGACACCACAAAGTGTTTCTGATCAACAAAAAAATGCCAGTATTAGACAAAATATAACCTGAGTAAATACAAAATATGGTTTTGTAAGGATGATTTCGTTTGTTGAGATAAGGTTGGTTGGTGTAGATGACTCCAGACTCGGTTATCCAAGAAGCCTTTTCAGTTCTAGAACCTGAAGAAGCTTCTCGACTGAGAGGTGAAACATCTTAGAAATAACCAGAAAAGGCTCTCGCATTTGGTTGTCACTCTTTTGGCAGCAGCAGCTTGTGTGATAACTGGTGTTGAGTCTCTTGCATTGCTTTGGAGGATTTTTGTACTACTCTTCTTAAAAAAACATTTTCACTCAGCAACCTCAGAGGGTTTTCCAGGCCTGTTTAAGACCAGGGGTCTCATTTATCAAACATTGCGTAGAATCCTTACTAAAACCATACTTAAGCTCAGCAAAAAAAATGTACATACGCGAAGTAGGTTTGTGATCTATCAAACATGGAGTACGCACAGCTGCACGCAATCTCCGCTTCATAAATCGGAGACTAACAAGAATGTTTCTCAGCTGCATTTTTGTCACATCCCGCCCTCACCACACCCACTTACTGCCATAAATAGTCAATGCAAAGGGCCTTGTGGATCTCATGCTGCACACCACACGCTGTATGACCAAAACTGATTTATCTGTGATTTTTTTTATCTCCACATCTGTGGTCTCTCATGCTTTGAAAGTTGGCCAACACTTTAAAATCCTGCAGTGTGAACCGAGTTTTACATCACATGGAACAGGACACACGCCTTCCAAAAATATCCAGTTTTGTCTCATAGGTCCAAGGAATGTTTTCCTAAAAGTGTTCATCAGGATATTTTTGACAAACATTAGTGGGGTTGAAGTGATGGCAGCATCTTCTCCTTCAGAATAGAGCAGTATATTGTTGAGTTCATGATACCATCAATGAAATGCAGCTCCCCAACACCAGCAGCACTCATGCAGCCCCACATGAGGACACCACCGCCACCATGCTTCACTGTAGACACCATGCATTTCTCTTAGAGTTTTGAAACCATTAGTTCCAAAAACAGTGATCTTTGTCCCAGTAGTCTTCATCTCTTTCAGCATGGGCCATAGCAAATCCTAGGTGTGCTTTTTTGTGCATGGGCATTAGGAGAGGCTTCCTTCGTGGACAATACCCATGCATGCCATTCCTCTGCAGTGTGTGCTGTATATTGTCATGGGAAACGATCTCTCCAGTTTGGCTTTCTACTGCTTTAGCTAACTGCAGTGAACTTACATGATGATTTTCTTCAACTCTTCTCATCAGAAGACACTCCTGTAGAGATATTACCTTCCGTGGATGACATGGACGTCTCTGTAAGATGGTTGCACCTCCATCCTTCTTAAATTTTTGGATCATTTTTGCTACAGTATTTTAACTGATATGTAAAGCTTTGCAGATCTTGTAGCCCTCACCTTTTTGTGCAAACAAATTATTGCCTTTCTCAGATTTTGTGACATTTCTCTTCCATGTGGAGCCATTGCTGATAGCATGAAATGGGAAGGGCTTTTCTTTGTTAGGCAGTGCCCTTTTATGTCTGCTAGACACCTGTTAAATGAATCATTAGACACACCTGTGGTAGAATGCCTGTTAATTTGAATGTTGTAGTCTTGAGGGTAGCTTTTCTCCTAAGATTGTATTTGGGGTGTACACATTTTTGCAACATGGGCTTGAATGGATTTGTTAGGAAAATCACTTTTTTGTGTGTGCAGATGAACAAATCAATGGCCCACATTTGTGGGAGCATTTTGTAGTAAGGTATCTAATTGTTGATTCTGAAAGGAAACGAAAGGTTTTCTGACATTTAGTGGGGTACTGAGCACTGTATAAATAGGAGACACACACAGTGAAATCTGAGAAGTGAAACGAACTTTATGGGATTTACAGAAAGTGTGCAATAATTGTTTAAACTAAATTAGGCAGGTGCATGTATTTGGGCACCAGAAAAAAGAAATTAACTCAATAGTTAGTAGATCCTCCTTTTGCAGAATTAACAGCCTCTAAACGTTTACTATAGCTCTTAATGGCAGTCTGGATTCTGGTTGAAGGTATTTTGAACCATTCTTTTTTTTTTACAAAATATCTCTAGTTCATTCAGATTTGATGGCTTCTGAGCAGTCCTCTTTAGCGGACACCACATATTTTCAATAATATTCAGGTCTGGGATTAGTTATTCCAGAACATTCTATTTGTTCCCCTGCATGAATACCTTAGTAAATGTTGAACAGTGTTTAGGGTCGTTGTCTTGTTGAAAGGTCCAGCCCCGGTGCAGCTTCAATTGTGTCACTGTCTCCAGAATCTGCTGATATTGAGTGGAATCCATGACTCGTTCAAGTTTAACAAGATTCCCAGTCCCTGCACTGGCCGCACAGCCCCACATCATGGTGGAATCACCACCATGTTTTACTATAGGTAGCAGGTGTTTGTCTTGGAATGTTGTGTTATTTTTCCTCCATGCATAACTCCTCTTGTTATACCCAAATAACTCAGTTTTAGCTTCATCAGTCCTCAGCACCTTATTCCAGAATGAAGCTGGCTGGTCCAAACATGCTTTAGCAGACCTGAAACAGCTCTGTTTGTGCTGTGGGTGGAGAAAAGGTTTCCTCTGCATCACTCTCACATACAGCATCTCCTTGTGTAAAGTGGCCCAATAGTGGAACGATGGACAGTGACTAAATCTGCAGCAAGATGATGTTGTAGGTCTTTGGTGCTGGTCTGTGGGCTGACTCTGACTCTTCTCACCATTCTTCACTTCTGTTTATCTGAGATTTTTCTTGGTCTGCCACTTAGAGCCTTACCTTGAACCGTTCCTGTGGTCTTTCATTACCTCCATATGTTCCTAACTGTGGAAACAGACAGCTGAAATCTCTGAGACAGCTTTCTGTGTCCTTCCCCTAAACCATGATGAACAATCTTTGTTTTCAGCTCATTTAAGAGGAAGCAAATAAATATATACTTTAATGTCCGTTACAGTTTCTAATGCTTATGTAAACAGACAAAACCCGTATGTGTCTTTGCAGTGTAAGCTGGAGTTCCAGAGCTGCTTGTCCGGGAAGACGATCTCAGTGAAATGTGATGGACTGTGTCCCTGCTTGCCAGGTCCAGAGGAGTTCAACAAACCACTACATAATCCAGAGAAGGCTGGTGAGTTCTCACCCTCTGTCTATAATTAAATATCCTGCCTTTGTTTCAACATTTTCATCCAATCACTTGTCATGTCGACTGTTACAAAGTTTGTTTTCTGTGTTTCTGCGTGAGCGTGTCTATGTTGGGAAATTTGGGTGAACTGACAAATAGCAGAGGCAGATTGTCTGGATTTAAAACCATTTTCAGGTTCAAAAACACTCAACCGCAACTCACCCACCTCACAAAACCCATTTTAGCAGTAATGTCTCAAAAACTCTTTGGTAAATCTCTGTTTCCATTTTTTCCTGTCACCTCTCCCCTCTTACTGGTGTTATTTTCTTCCCGTCATCCCCCACCCATCCAGTGACAGCTGCAAAAATTGGTGATGGATTGAGTGTGTGTGTCTTATTGTTTGTCATGAAAATAGGATTTCAGCAGATGGATGGAGGGATTCTGGTGGAGAAATGCAATCTAAAGGAAAGTAGCTCGGAAAAGGATGGATTGTTTTTGTTACAGGCTCCCTGTGTCTCAGACAAGGAGGGAGTTGGGACGATTGGACTGTTTTTTCTATTTATCTATCTGTCAATCTACCTGTTTCTCTTCTAATTTCTGATTAGTAAGTGTCTATAACAATGCTTCATCACAAAGAGTAGACAAGAGCGTCTCTTCGTCTCACGTTTCCTTGTTAGTTTAGGCCCAGATGATGTAGAGAACAGGGATTGATGCACTCAGAGAAGTGTTTTGCAAAGTTGACTTGTGTCAGATGAATTCCCTCCTGTCATTACACAATATAAACTCTAATTATGTGTTTGATGTGGTGAGAGAGTGAGAATGTGGTTCTGGGAGTTAGCGGTCTACACGAGTATCTGTGAGAAGAAAGGGAACTATTTCTAAATCTTGGACAGTTTAACATTTTTGTTTTCACTTTTAGTCTCCGTTTTATTTATTAATTAATTTATTTTTAGTTCAGCTCATTCTTTTTGGCTTTGCTTCTTCCTGGAGCATATCTGTACATCATAGTACAGCCTGTCCTCAGTGAGTCTGCCAGATAGCAGGTCCAAAAGTTTGTACACTCAGAGGTGACACAGATGAATCTATCAAAGTGTGTATTTGTCAAGGCTGAAGCCTGATGGAAACTCTCATTAGATCAGGGTGGCTAATTGGTAAGCAGATGGGAATTGCACTAGGCTAAGTGGAGAGGAAAACGATGATGCTCATGTCCTTGCTTGTTACTATGGAAACGGCCAAAATATTGCAGCCGTTTGAGGCGAGCAGTCGCCCCTCTGGGTTCACCAAGAGTCGTGAACATCTGGCTTCACTCAGCACCTGAACCTGCACCTGTACTTACACACCTCTCACCTCCCAGCAATGGTTTGGATTACAGAGGTCAGTGCGTTTACATGCATATAAAAAACAAGCAATAGCCCGAGATACATTAATGTCCTTTTTTTGTTTTTTTAATGCACATAAACACAATAGTCTTGTTGAAGGCGAACTGGTTCTAATCATGTTGAAGCTCCCAGATAATGTGTTAGGAACTCGACTGCATGTAAACGGCTCAGTCGAGCTAATACCGGTAACCTCTGGAAGTGATGAGACCTCTTCTTCTGATAACCACCATCTATATGATAATATCATCACCACAATGTAACACATAAATCACTATCAAACGGTTCAGTACATACCAAATAAGCTGTGCTGCAGCATTGTAGCTGTCCATCCCTTCGGCCATTGTGCATATCCTGTTTTTACTTCGTCTGCTTTAGTCCCGCCACCATTTGTTTGCTATTTGTATTGCTATTCACTTTAGGATTGGGCATCGTTTGATTTTGAATGATTCCAATTCCAAATCCTCGTTTCAATTCTGGTTCCTATTGTCCTATTATCGATTCCTGAATCCGAGTCTTTCAAGACATGACATGCTTTAAATTAGCCAGCTAACCACAGGTCCTACTTGATGAAATAGTCTTAACTTCAACATGAATTTTAATTCTTTGAACAACTACATCACCTTCATTTAGACAAAAACATGTTATGGAGAAAAAAGAAAAAGACTTGCAGCACAACCAGTGTGTTTGTTTCTGACCACAACCAAAGTCTGGAAGAAGCCTCTGGGATGAGAGGCTAAATGTCTCCAACATATCCAGAAACATCCAGCTGTTTTCAGCTAAAACTCTCGGGATGATCATGTCCAGGATGACTGAGAACTACACATCCATGCTGCAGCAGCATTCAGTCAGAATAGAAAGTGAAACTTAAATGTAGCTGCTGTCAGTAACGATCTTAACAGATTTTGAACATTAAAACTCAACAGAAATAGTTCAAAAAGGAAATTTAAATGTTCACAGCTTTGTGTGTCATTTGTTATTATTACTATTATTATTTATTGTGGCAGAAACTGGTGTGGTCCACCACAGAGAAAGCTTCTCTAGCATGATGACTTTAATTATTCTACAGGTTATTGATCAGCCTTCTGACGCTCACGCTCTCTCTCTCACACACACACACATTTACACACACGAGTGTTGGTGAGCGGCTGCGTCTGATTGCTGACGCTCTGTGTGTTTTTTATTTCTGCAGTGAGACAAACTCACCTCACACCGCCCAGAGTTTGTACTTTAAAGCTTATATTAAATCCACCGTGTTGATGTATTTTAACAAGTTTCCTCTGCGGCGCATTTTACGCTGCAGGAGTTAAAGTTTACATTACGGAGTAAAAGTTTGGCAGACATGTTTGTTTATACTTGGCCGCTGCGCGCCGAGTGTGGGCCGATGCTGCACGCAGACAGCTGGTGTGATCAGCTCTAAAAGCGCTGATCACAGTTTGCAGATCACGTTTATTTTTCACAGAGATCAGTCGCGGATTTCTCTTCCGTCGGCACACTAGGAATCGAAATAAAAAACTTTGAACGATTCCGGGAAAAACTAACAGTTGGTCCTGGTTCCAATCAATGCTCGATGCCCAACCCTACTATCCACCATACTGCCATGTTTTCCGGAGTATAAGTCGCACCAGCCATAAAATGTATAATGAAGAAGAAAAAAACATTTATAAGTCGCACTGCACTGTAAGTCGCATTTTGGGGGGAAATTTTATTATTTTTCTTACAAAATCTGAGACTAAGCATTTCACATTACAAGACAAGTACCGGTAACAATAACAGAATAAACAACCAGGGCGCAGCCGCGCGCCACGGTCTCCAACAGAGGATAGTGGTGTTTCAAACCCTCCCAGTGGGCGGGGAGAGCTCCCGCAGCACCCCACCACAGGCTGCAGCAGGTGATGGCTGTGTGTTTGAAACCCTCCCAGCGAGGCAGAGGAGCTGAAACCTGGACCAGAGCCGGCCCGCAGCAGTGCCGTATACATATTTTGGTATATAAGTCACAGGACCAGCCAGACTATGAAAAAAAGTGTGACTTATAGTCCGAAAAATACGGTATATGGTCCGTGATGCTTTGCGAGAAAGATGTTAGAATATTCCGGTCCACCTTAGTTTACATTAAGTTGATGCAATCCCCTCACACAAATCCTCTTTTTATGGACTTTTAGAGACGAAATTGAGTAAACACCAGCTGTCACAGCTCAAACAGGACACTGTTACACTCAGTGGTGGGAATTGATACGTTTTTCTCCATATCAGTGCCATTGTCGATTCTGTCTATTGATTCTTATCAGTTCCTTTATCAATTTTTTTTTAAATTTTATTTATTTATTTATTTTTAGGAAGAGGGGCAATACATATTAATGAACATTTCAATAAATGTAAATATGCCAGATTATAGCCTTGGGCTAATTTCCATCTGCAGTCCCTCCGGCAGGTTGATGTTAGACACAAAGTAGTAGAAACATACAGAGATAGTATTTACAAGTCACGTGACAGAGACAAAAACAGTCATCCCATTATACTAACACAAACAAATGTCAAGGAAAGTGGACACAGAGGACAGCATAGATAACAATAACGGAAACACATCAATTATATTGCACAAACCCCGATACTGCATATGCCCTGACTGTCGTGAGATTACATTCACCCATTACACAGCAGTTGTTTCCCTTTTAATAACATACCAAATCTTTTCCCGGTCAAATAAAAAATATAAGTATTAGACATGATCACATGTTTGTGCGTCCCTCAGCCGCCCTTTTAAGCGACTCTTAAAGATGTTTAGACTGGTACTTTCCCTCACAGATAGTGGAAGACTATTCCAGAAGGTCACTCCCTGGTATGACAGAGCAGTGTGTGAAAAGGTAGTCCGCCTGAATGTCAGTTCACAGTCACCTCCAGCAGTGGCTCGAGTCAGTCGAGACCCGGCAACACTGTAAGAACACTGCAATTCCAGAGTAGTTAAACAGGTGGCAAAAAACAAAAAGTGCACGGCTCCTGCAATATAACTGTCAGTTTATTTACGATAAATAATCAGTTGTACCTGTATCGGTTGGAAATATCTTTCCAAATATTCTCCTTTATGCTCCCTGTGAAGGCAGGGTCATCTTTTTGTTCGGTGCAGTGTTGCTGTGGCTTTTACAGAGTGGGAAAAACCTCACCACAAGTAGGACCTTTGTCGCTGGAGTCTGCTAGTGGAGGTGTATATATAAGGTAAATGATGCTAACATGATAGGTAGTGTTAGTTGATTAATTACCTGCAGTTTTAACAGGAGAGGACGTGCGATATTGATATTCATTTGATGTTGAAATTCGCTAGTACTAGCGGGTCAAAACACGTCAAATATCTTTAAGATATTGCTTATTTTGTGGCCAAAGGTTTTCAATCATAATGCTTCCTCCCTTGATAAAATATTTACTTTGCAATTATTGCAAGTTACCCTGTTTTCATGCATTCTTGTAAAATATGACCAAACCTGCGTGCGTTTGTGCCGCTTAGACGCCATGTTTGTTGCTTCTGTAAGCTACGCAATGTGCGCGGTGACATCATCCGCGTCAACTGGAATTGAGAAGAGGAATCGTTTGCAAAATTGTCGAACGATTCCTAGGAATTGAAACAATGGGAACCGG